AAAAAAAAAAAAAAGGAATGAAATAGGGCAGATAGATCATTCCCCCAATATTTCAAAATCCATGTTGTCATGTATCAAATTGAGGATGTCTTTAATAGAAAAAAATAAATGTAAGTAAGGCAACACCAGTCACTCGATATAATTTTTAGCCTTCTTGCTAAAACTAGGTAGCTGTTTGCATGATGTGCTTTGTCCTCTGTAGAGATAAATCATTCTAATGGACAGTTTAGGCCCACTCCATCTTAGCTTGTCTGATTAATATAGATGTTCTTCCGACTGAGCGGACTCCACACGGAACTTACAACACTGACAGAAAGGGAGAATTAATTCACTTTACTTTCTATAAAACCTCAAATTCAAAGAATTACTAGACTAGAAAGCACCAAGGTTTAGGCAAGAGAGCCAAGTTGGCAGAAAGATATCTATTTCACCACATAAGAGATGTTACTTGTAGTAAACAGCCTTTAAAAACCACCAGCTTAAAAATAATGATAATAATAAAATAAATAAATTTTAAAACACCAGCTTTATCACCATATTATAGCTCTAGGCCGTGTCCAAGCCCCATGCAGCCATGAGCTGGACTGTGGCCTGGCCGTCCAGCAAGTGTAACAGCCCTGCTGGTTGATGTCAGTTACTACAGAAGCCGACTCAGTTCTATAGCAAATTGGGTTGATCATGTGAGCTAAAAGCAAAGCCTTGGTGTGTTAAGATCCATTCGTTTTACATGTATAGTCTCACCCTCAGAGTTTCTTCATGAGCACAGTGAAATGACAGACCAGGGACATGGCAAGAATTTAAGCTGAGTCCATTCAGGCAAAGTTAAGTCCAGTGGTGGTGACAACTCAGAAAATTCAGATAAATATGCTGCTATTATAGAAAAAGAGTCTTGGGGAGCTGAATTATCTGGACACGTTGATCCAATTCACTGGGTAAACTCATAGGTTCCTGCTTTCCTTCACCTCTGTAGGGAAAATATTTTTCTAAAGCATTTTGTGGGGGGGGGTCACCCAAAGTTGGCAGTAAGTCACCAAAACTTCTTCCCATGTCAGACCTGAGTTCTGTGCAAAACTGAAGCATTAAGACAGTGAAATCCCTTTGCAACATCTGCCTAATAGGCTAACCTTCCATACTGTGTTACGCCAGACCTTTCCTGAATAAAACAATACAGCTGGGGAATGTGGCTTGACTTACATGCAAATCTATGTAATGATAATCCATTATAATCCTTCTATGTGAATGATTATCTGGAACGCCTAAAACAGCTATTTATCAATACAACAGAGGAACCATCAGTGCCCTCTACTAATAGATTTATAACTGAGATTTTCATTGTACTTCGCACTCTGTTAGAAGAAATTCACGCATTTTAAATTAATTCATACATTCCATGGAACTATTTCTAAATGAGTTGGCTTGTGATTCTCCTTGTTATCTCCCTCCGTGCAGTTTTGGGCAAGTGCTTTAGCGTCAAGATGCTTGGATTAGCATCTGAGCCCCATTTCTCATCTGCTGTTACTTGGAGCAAGTAACTTCCCTGTGCCTCAGTGTTTTCATCTGTAAAATGGCAGAGCCTGGGCGTCAGCACAGATCCTACCTGCTGGGATGGCTGTGAGGACTCAATGATAAACATATGTTCAGCCATTAGAACGGCCCCCGACACCATAGCTCATACATGACAGCCTTAAGGTATCGGGTACAAGGCAGCTGTATTCAGTAGGGAGAATGGACCAGAAAACTTTGTTTTCTTTGTCTTCACGTTACCTCCTCCCCACCTCCCACCCCAATCTTTTCTCCTTTACCAAAAATCAGGGTTATATTTTTAAACTCCTAACACAAACGCAGGTACAGACACTTCTACTGTGCCCCGAATTTCCAAAGCAAAACACCAAATGGAAAAAGATGAACAATCAGAAAGCATTCACCAAGCGAGAGGTTTGCTTCCCCCCCAAAAAGACATGGAAAACTCAGGCAGTGAGTCAAGACCCAGCTGGGTCTGATGTGCAATTGATTCAGAAATCCTATTTCATGATCAAGGTGAACACTGACACAGGGTGAGAAATAAGCCTGGCCGAGTTACATATTCTTCTTTCAAGCAGAGGGAGGCTTGGGGATTAACCTTTACCGAAAGCCCAGTCTGTATGCAGGATCTGCATCCTCCCATGAATGAAATCAGGGGGAAGCAGAGCTGACAGCAGGCCCCGTGAGTGCAGGGAGCTATGGTGGCCATCAGCTCCTGGACTCCTGCCTGTTCCCAAAACCCCTACCAGCCCCATCCTGCCTTGGAAAGGAGCCACCTCTCCTTTCCAGGACACGCAGAGGCATCCAAAGGCCATTGTGCTGTGGGGGTCTGGCACCTGGAGTCCTAAGTCACTCTTGGTCCCCGTGCCAGGCTCACAGGAAGTAAGTACCCTCTCCTGCCCTTTCCTCTCACCTGGAGCCCGGGCAGAGTCCTACTAGTTATGTGCCAGGAAAATGGATCTGGATGGAGTCTGGTGAGCCTGCTTCCAAAATCTTGCCCTTTAAAACAAAGCCAAATGTTCTGAAATTCTCCTCACTCCTTATTGAGTTCAGTGTTAGTCATTACCAGATTCAAATTTGTAGGAGTAGCAAAACCTAGTCAGATTAATAGTGGCTTATAGTGGAGACTGTAAAACTAAGAAAAAGCAGTAAACTCAGATTTTAAAATGTACACATCTAAGACAACTGTGGTCTCTTTTGGATTGGGAACTATTCATTTGAAGAGCAGCCTGGAAGGGAAATTTGAGGGCAAATCCCAATCTTCATGACTTACCTGGCAAATAAATTCTGTTGAAGATGTCCTCTGAAAGGCCAAGATTGATGGGTTTCCAGGCAAGTCCACTGGCATCCAACAACTTTCCAAGCTGTCTGCCCAAGTTAGAAAACAACCAACATAAGCAAATGCTCCCACATTTGTAGAGAGAACCATAATTCTCAGTCCATTTACAGTAACGCTCCTAAGACAGAGGGGCCTGGGGCATCACAGAGCCCGGAATTTGAAGCTCTGGCTCAGATTCCTGGTCTACCACATACCAGCCCTATAAATGTAAACTGGCAACTTCTCCAAACTCTGTTTCCTCGTCAGTAAAATGGAGTTGTTACCAACCCCACCAGGTAGACAGGAGGACTGAAATCCTGGGTATAGACTGGGCTTCAGGTAAAGGTTAATCCCGAAGCCTCTCTCTATGTATGAAGCCTGCTTCCAACACCATAGACTGCTCCCAGGTTAGCACCTTTATAAGAGAATAGCTCAACCAAAGAAATTTTAGTTTGAGATGTGAGAGGTCATAACTTGGTTATTAAAAAATTTACCTCTTTGATTACCAATAAACTCATCCATTTGTACCCCCAGTACCTATGGGATGTTAGCATAGGTACATTCAACTGCCCCATACAGAGGACCTGCCCTCCAGGGGCTCACTGCCTAGTGGGAGGGCAGGACACCAACACGCCCCAGCCAAGGCAAGTTCTAAGGATGTGTGGGGAGGGGCCGGTGGGGTGAAAATCCTGAAGGAGGGGATTGAGCCAGGGCCCGGGGAGGAAGGCGAGAAAGGTGCGCCCAGCAGGAGGTACCGAGGGTGCGAAGGCATGGAGGAGAGAGCAAGGAAGAGGGGGAAGAGATGACAGACAGACAGACATGGAGGAACTACAAAGAGTCTAGGGCCTCAAAGTATCCCCAGACTAGGGGCAGAGGCATCACGGGAGAGCTTGTTAAAAATGCATGAATCCCAGCCCAGGCTTACTGACTCAGAACCTGCATTTAACAGGGCCCCTGGGAGATTTGTGTGCACATTTGAGTTTGAGAAGCGCTGGTTTAGGGTCAGGCTATAAGTTAGGAAGCGTAAAGTTGACGCCCTATGTGTAGGCAAGGACCAGGCCACCAAGGGCCTTGAACGTCATGCTGGAGGCGATGGAGCATCAGATCGGCATCGTTAAAAGCTGACTGTGTTGGGCTTCCCTGGTGGCTCAGTGGTTGAGAGTCCACCTGCCGATGCAGGGGACACGGGTTCATGCCCCGGTCCGGGAAAATCCCATATGCTGCGGAGCGGCTGGGCCCGTGAGCCATGGCCGCTGAGCCTGCGCGTCCAGAGTCTGTGCTCTGCAACGGGAGAGGCCACAACAGTGAGAGGCCCGCGTACCGCAAAAAAAAAAAGAAATCTGACTGTGTTCATGAAAGGGGGCTGGCTGGGAGGGTGAGGGCAGACAGAAGCCGAGAGACAAGCTGCAAGCTGCTGTGGACCTGGAGAGAAATGAGAAGGGCTTGACATGAAGCAAAAGCAGAGGGAGAGGGCCTGGGCTGGAGGGATGTTTAAGGACGTAAGCCTGGCACAACTTGGTGAGCACTGGGGATGGGGAGAAGGAAAAAGGAGGAATCAAAGAGATCTTGGAGGTCTGGCCCAGAAAACTAAGCCAATGGCAGTTGCCTTTGCAAGGCTGACAAAGCAAGAAGTAGGTGGGGCCCATCCTGTGGCCGTTGTCCGTGAATGAACAGCCAGGATGGGCCAGGAGGAGACGCCAGGAAGCACCTGGGTACACAGGTCTGCCGCTCAGCAGAGAACTCTTGGCCACCGGAAGGAAGCCAAGGGCCTAGAGTGAGTAAGAGGTGGCTGAAACTACAGGAAAGTCTCCCCTGCGAGAGTGGACAGGGTAACGAGAGATGATGAAGGAACCTCGGGAAATACGAACACCTGAGGAGGGAAGGGAGAAGACAACTACGGAGAAATGGTCCGAGAAGTAGGAGCCACTCCAGGAGCCAAGGGAGGCCTTTGGAAATGAGTGGGTTAGAGTGTCAGCTCCTACAGCGGATTCAAGTAAATAAGGACCGAGAGCCCTCCATTATAGGTAATGGTTTTCAACCGAATGGCATCTTAGCATAGGAACTGAGTTCAGCCGCAGCATTTCCCCAGGTTCTCTGATAAGAATCGCCAGGGAGGTCCTTAATAAAACACACACACCTGGGTCCCGTCCTGACCCAGAGCATCAGACTCTCCAAGGAAGGGGCCTGCAGAGCTGGTTTTCCACAAGCTCTACAGCTGATTCTCATCCCAGAGGTTTGGACCTCATAGCCTTGCTTCTCAAACTTCAGAAGTTCTTGAGAAATACCTGGGGACCTCAATCAACTGCAGGTTCTGATTCGGTAGGTTTGAGTAGGTAGCAAGGCTGCACTTCTAAGAAGCCGCCAGGTGACAGCCATGCTGCTGGTCTCAGGACCACCCTGGCAGGAGCAGGGCTAGAGAAAACAGGTTTTGAGGAGGTAAGCCGTTGATCCAAGGTGACCCGGCTTGGCTAGTGGCAGAGCTGAGAGATCTGTCATGCTTGAGGGGTCTCTCTGGATCGTGACTGCATCACGTGCCCATATTCTGCGTCCAGCAAGGATGGCAGATGGAGTGTGAGGTTAGCGAACAAATCATTAACTTCACTTGGACACCTCCCCCGTCCACCTGCTTCTCCCTGCTTGCTCTCTCTCCCTTGCCGTGAGCCCACCAGGATCTCTCTGCTCCTTTCTCTTTCCCCGAGCTTCCCCTCTGCAGCAGAAAGGCCAGATTAGGGCATGACCACAACCTCCCAACCCGGGGCATCTGGAAAATCGGGGGAGAGAGCGTTAACGAAGTGAGACCCAGCGGGCCACCATATGTTGCCGCCAGAATAGCTAATTAGACTGGCTGTGGGAGGGGAGAAGGGCCCACGAGCTTCCACATGGGAACTTAGTGGGAAAGAACTTTCCTGCATCTGTCAGGGACGCCGGAGACCATCGGCTGGAGAAGGGTGTGATGGTGATGCCATTGCCCTGGTTAGCTCTTCAGTGACTCTGAGCTCCAAGCCAGGCACCTCCTGGGCAGGAGCCAGGCCGGCTGCCCCCAGGCCACCTTGACACACCACCCCCCAGCCCCCGAAGAACGAGTTTTGAGTTTAGATTCATTCACAGCCTTTTCCAAATGTCCTTTCCCACCGTGAGGGCTGCCTCCTGACTGCTCTTTTTCTTTCGTGCAGGTGACAGCAGCCAGCACCCCCTGTTCTGTGTTGAATATTCCCCTTACTGCTCCGTCTTTGCTTTCTCCCCCGTCCTGCAGCCCAATACGAACTTCTGCAGCCTCCAGCTGCCCCTACTGCCGCCCACCTCCCCGGGGGCCCGGGACTCTTCCCCCCCGCTGCCTCCGGTCTCCTTTCCCTCCCCTCCGGGCCCCGCGCCCGAGTCACCGGCAGCCCTGTGCTACTTCCCCATCTCCTGCCCCAGCCCGGCCGAGACCCCTGTGCTGTGCCTGCCGGACCCCCGAAGGCCCAGTAGAATTTACCTCGTGTGGTAAGTCGCCCTCGGCGAAGGACACAGCACAGTGGAGTCAGGGAGTGGGGACGGGGGGACGTTAAGCTTCCGGAGGGCAGCGCCATGACCGACGGCAGGAGGTGTAACGTGCGGGGAAGCAGGAAGACCAAGACAGCTGCTCCCACTTCACTCGGCCTTCTTCTAGCACTTAAAGGAGTGAGCGACCAATAAATGCCCGTCCTCTCTCGAGACTCATCTGATTTCTTCACTCCCGCGTCTGGCGCAGTTTGGATCGTTAACCACCAGAAACGGATCAGGCTCCTCCGGGTCTACTCGTAGCCTTGGGGGTGTGACTATGCCTGCCGAGCCGGCCCTGAGAGGGTGGCACCAGGGACAGGCCTCTGGGGGAAGCCCACGCTGGATCTGATTGTTGGTTCAGGACCACACGGAGGAGAGACAAATTCAAGGGCTCAGTCGCTGCTTACGGTTTCTTTCCTGACTCATTAGGCCCTACACCTTCCCAGATCAAAAATCCCACCTCCTGGGGCCCCAAATAAAACATATTTATGGTGCATAATGAAGCTTTAATTAAGAGCTCCTCTGGGGATGCGAGACAACACTCATTTCCAGCACACTCAGACTGGCAAACAGACAGGGCCTGTTATTTGTGACTGTACCGAAAGCTGCCTACTACACCAAGGCAACAGCAGCTCCTGCGATTAAGCTGTAATTCTTCCCACGATCTGAAAGAAGCAATAAATCTTTTCAAAAGGCGTCTCAGGCAGAGCCTTGGCACCTCCTGGGCACCGGGCATCGAAGTGAAGATGGTGTGGGGTAGGGTAAAGGTTCAGGGAATTGTCTTTTTCTCTTCACCTTGCTTTTCAAACTTGGCCTATCCAGAACCGTGTCTGGGTACAGCAGGTGATGTGAGGGGCGGAACAATGATCAGGTGCGTGGAATTAACGTGGACCGTTAAATGGACTCGGTTCTCAGCCATCAGAGTCTTGTATAAATATAAGGTTTCTACCTTTTTCTCCCTTTCCTGGTCAAATTAAGAACAATTCAGTCAACAATTAGTGTCCCAGCACTGTCAAGAGAACTGAGGCAGGACTACCCTGGTGGTGCAGTGGTTAAGAATCTGCCTGCCACGTGGGGAGGGGGAAGGGTAAGTTGGGACAAAGTGAGAGAGTGGCATGGACATATATACACTACCAAATGGAAAACAGCTAGCTAGTGGGAAGCAGCCGCATAGCACAGGGAGATCAGCTCGGTGCTTTGTGACCCCCTAGAGGGGTGGGATAGGGAGGGTGGGAGGGAGACGCAAAAGGGAGGGGATATGGGGATATATGTATACGTACAGCTGATTCACTTTGTTACAAGGCAGAAAGTAACACACCATTGTAAAGCAATTATACTCCAATAAAGATGTTAGAAAAAAAAAAAGAATCTGCCTGCCAATGCAGGGGACACGGGTTCGAGCCCTGGTCCGGGAAGATCCCACATGCCGTGGAGCAACTAAGCCCGTGCACCACAACTACTGAGCCTGTGCTCTAGAGCCCAGGATCCACAACTACTGAGCCCGCGTGCTACAACTACTGAAGCCCGC